GAGTTTGTGGATTCCAAAGGTTTCTATAGCCTAGGAAGCTCATGTGAAGAGCCTCAGATGATCACTGATGTCAGACATAAGAGTGTTAACTGTTAAATTAACAGGAGTCACTGTGCACTAACTTCCCATGCAGGACCTCTGTCCTCAAAGAGTTGCATTATGAGAGTTAATAGTAAAACTTGTTCTCAAAGATTTACTTTGTTTTAATGTATTAAATGGAGGATATTTTTATGTCTCATAAGTTATAGTTATGTCTAAGTGCTTGCAAAAGATGTATCATTCTTGGGTTCCTCATTAAAGTTAATTAAGTTTCTAAAAAAGAAGAATGCTTAAAAAAAAGGAAGTGAAATTAACTTCAATATGCAATGATTTTGAACAGCCCTTGTCTCAGCTGTTGAGGAACAGTTTTTTTTTTCCCCCATACTATTTGTTGAACTCTTTACTTAGTATAGAGTTAATCTTCTGTGCATATAGTTGATCCAAAATAGATCTTATTTAAAAATAAAACTGGGAATAAGAGAGGGAGGAGGAAGAGGGGTGGGAGTGTGGGTGGGAAGGTGGATATGGTGGAAACAATCACTATGTTCCTAAAGTTTTATTTATGAAATGCATGAATTTTGTATTCCTTAAATAAAAGGTTTCTTTGGGGAAAAAAATCTAAAAATAAATTTAATCAAAGAAGTGAAAGATCGCTATAACAAAAACTATAAAACATTTATGAAAGAAATTGATGACATGAGAAATGGAAACACATTATGTGTTAATGAATTGGGAGAATAAATATTGTTAAAATGTCCATACTACCTAAAGCTATTTACAGATTCAATATGATCCCTAACAAAACACAAATGACATTTTTCTCAGAAGTAGACTATAAAGAATTTGTATGGAGACAAAAAAAGACCTGGAATAGCCAAAGCAACCTTAAGTAAAAAGAAAAATGTAGAAGCCTTATACCACCTGACTTTCTCTAATTCTCCTTTTCAAATAAATAAAATAAATCTTTAAAAAGATATCTTTTTAAAAGATATCTATCTTTTAAAAGATAGAGTTACAGAGAGAGGTAGAGACAGAGAGAGAGGTCTTCTATCTGCTGGTTCACTCCCCAGATGGCTGCAATGGCTGGAGCTGCACCGATCTGAAGGCAGGAGCCAGAATCCTCTTCTGGGTCTCCCACATGGAAGCAGGGGCCCAAGGACTTGGACCATCTTCTACTGCTTTCCCAGGCCATAGCAGAGAGCTGGATCAGAAGTGGAGCAGCCAGGATTAGTACTGGCCGGCACCCGTATGGGATGCCGGTGCTTCAGGCCAAGGGCTTTAACCTACTGTGCCACAGCGCCGGCCCCATAAATAAATCTTAAATTAAAAAAAGAAAATAAACAGTCTTTTCAATGAATGGTACTAGGAAAATGATATCCACATGAGGAAGAGTGACACCAGATCCCTGTCTCTTATTATGTACAAAAACAGACTCAAAGCAAATTAAAGACCTATACACAAGAACTGAAACCTTGAAACTATTAAAAAAGAAAATATGGTGGGGCCCGTGCTGTGGTAAAGCAGGTTAATGCCCTGTTCCTGAAGCACCAGCATCCCATATGGGTGCCAGTTCAAGATCCAGCTGCTCCACTTCTGATCCAGCTCTCTGCTGTGGCCTGGGAAAGCAGTAGATGATGGCCCAAGACCTTGGGCCCCTGCACCCACATGAGAGACCTGGAAGAAGCTCCTGGCTCCTGGCTTCAGATCAGCCCAGCTCTGGCCATTTCAGCCATTTGGGTAGTGAACCATGGGATGGAAGACCTCTCTCTCTCTCTGCCTCTCCTTCTCTGTGTAACTCTTTCAAATAAATGAATAAATCTTTTTTTTTTTAAGAAAATACAGGGGAAACACTTCAGAAAGTGGGGTTGGAAAGGACTCTTTTGGATCAGACCCCAGAAGCAAAATTGACCAATGGGACTTCATCCAACTGAAGAGCTTCTGTGCACCAAAGGAAACGATCAGCACAGTGAAGAGACAGAATGGAAGAAAACAGTTCCAAGTTATACTTCTGACAAAGGCTCAGTCTCCCGAATAATAAGGATCCAAACAAATTGCATAGAAAATCCCATTAAAAAATGGGAGTAAATCTAAACAGACCTTTCTCAAAGAAAGATGCACAAATGGCTATCAGGTACACGCAAAAAAAATGCTCAATATGGTTAATCATCAGGAAAATGCAATGATATTGCTTCACTTAGAGTGAGGTGGCCACCATAAAAAAAAACGCAAGGATAACAAATACTGGTGAGGCTATTCCAAGTGATCAATTTCAGTTCACAATTGATCATAATGAAAGGACTAAGAGTCAAAGGGAGCACATAAACAAGTCTAGTACCTGCTAACACTAACCGATAGAATAAATAAAGGGGAGAGTGATCCAACATAGGAAGTGAGATACTCAGCAGACTCATAGAATGGCAGATGTCCTAAATAGCACTCTGGCCTCAGAATCAGCCCTAAAGGCATTCGGATCTGGCTGAAAAGCCCATGAGAGTATTTCAGGCATGGAAAGCCAAGACACTCTGGCAAGAAGATCTCTGTGAGTGAGATCCCAGTGGAAAGAACAGGTCTTCAAAGAGGGAGGTGCCTTTCTCTGAAGGGAGGAGAGAACCTCCACTTTGACTATGACCATGTCTAAACAAGATAAGAGTCGGAGAACTCAAGGGGCTTCCATAGCCTTGGAAACTCATGACTGGAGCATAGGGAGACTACTGATGCCATAGACAGGAGTGTCAATTGGTAAAGTCGACAACAGGAGTCACTGTGCACTTACTCCTCATGTAGGATCTCTGTCCTTAATGTGCTGTGTATTGAGATTTAATGCTATAACGAGTACTCAAACAATATATTTCACTTTGTGTTTCTATGGGGGTGCAAACTGTTGAAATCTTTACTTAATGTATACTAAACAGATCCTCTGTTAAAAAAAAATTATCAACTCCCAACTTGACTCTCACTGGGATTAAACATGACAATAGGTCTGATCTGATTTCATCATCATTTAAAAAAAATCATCTATTATTTTTACTTTATGTTTCGGTGTGGGAGCAAACTGTTGAAATCCTTACTTAATGTATACTAAGCTGATCTTCTGTATATTAAGATAATCGAAAATGAATCTTGATGTGAATGGAAGGGGAGAGGGAGTGGGAAAGGGGAGGGTAGTGGGTGGGAGGGACGGTATGTGGGGGAAGCCATTGTAATCCATAAATCATACTTTGGAAATTTATATTCATTAAATAAAAGTTAAAAAAAAAACAAATACTGGTGAGGATGTGGAGAAGAGGGAACCCTTATATGCTGTTGGTAGGAATGCAAATTAGTATAAATATTGTGGCAAACAGTATGCAGGCCCCTGAAAAAACTAAAAACAGAACTACCTACCGAATGATCTAGGAATTGTACTAGGTATATATCCAAGGGAAATGAAATCAAGCTGCTGAGGAGGCATCTGCACTCCCATGTTTAATGCTGTATTGTTCGCAAGAGCTAAGAAATGGAAACAACCTAAATGTTTAATATCAACTAATAAATGAAGAAAGTGTGGTACAAGTACACAAAGGAATACTGCTTTGCCATAAAAGGATGAAAGGTTGTCGTTTGCAACAACATAGATGGAACTAGAAGTCATTACATTAAACAAAATAAGCTAAGCACAGAAAGCCAAGGACTGCCTGATAACATGCACACATAAAGTCTTAAAAAGATGATGAGAGGGACCGGCGCTGCGGTGTAGTGGACAAAGCTGCTGCCCGCAGTGGCACATCCCATATGGGTGCCAGTTCTAGTCCTGGCTGCTCTTCTTCTGATCCAGTTCTCTGCTATGGTCAGGGAAAGCAGCAGAAGATGGACCAAGACCTTGGGCCCCTGCACCCACATGAGAGACCAGGATAAGGCTCCTGGCTCCTGGCTTCGGATCAGTGCAGCTCTGGCCATTGCAGCCATTTGGGGAGTGAACCAACGGAAGGAAGACCTTTTTCTCTGTCTCTCCCTCTCACTGTCCGTAACTCTCTCTCTCAAGTAAATAAAAATAAAATCTTGAAAAAAAAAAGACCCAAATCCTTGGGCCTCTCCACCTGCATGGGAGACCCAGAAGAAGCTCCTGGCTCCTGGTTTCAGTTTGGCACAGCTCTGCATCAGCGCAGCTCCAGTCCAGCTGTTGTGGCCAACTGGGGAGTGAACCAGTGGATGGAAGACCTCTCTCTCTCTCTCTCTCTCTCTCTCTCTCTGCCTCTCCTTCTCTCTGAGTAACTCTGACTTTATACAGGAGGAATAAGTTCGAAGATATAATGTACAACACCATGACTGTAAGTGTATTGTATACTTGAAAAGTGTCGGAGTATATTTTTGGTGTCCTCATCACAAAAAAATGAAAAGCCTGTTAGTTAGCTTGATCCAGTCATCCTACGATGTGTGCCTACTGCAAAACATGCTGTTCACCATCAATAAGTATTTGCATTCGATTAAAAATCAATTTAAAAATGCTTAAATTTTTTTTTTAATTTTTTGACAGGCAGAGTAGACAGTGAGAGAGAGAGACAGAGAAAAAGGTCTTCCTTTGCCGTTGGTTCACCCTCCAATGGCTGCCGTGGCCGGTGTGCTGTGGCCGGCGCACCGCGCTGATCTGATGGCAGGAGCCAGGTGCTTCTCCTGGTCTCCCATGGGGTGCAGGGCCCAATTATTTGGGCCATCCTCCACTGCACTCCCTGGCCACAGCAGAGAGCTGGCCTGGAAGAGGGGCAACGGGACAGAATCTGGCACCCTGACCAGGACTAGAACCTGGTGTGCGGGCGCTGCAAGGCAGAGGATTAGCCTAGTGAAACTGAAAACTTTTTCCAGAAAGCCTATGGTAAACTCACTGAATTGTGAATCCTCTAATGCTCTAAGACGGCTGTAACTGTTTCCTTAAAACTGTCCTAGGTGTCCTTAAAAAAACTGAAAAGTATTTAAAAAAAAATCACCTCTCAACAATGTTGAAGCAAGACACACCATCCTGCCCACCCATGGCATACAGAAAGCCTCCAAGTACTGCCACACCAACACTCATCCTGCAGGTGCTTGTAGGGGCCACATCACTGCTCCACTGGTTTGTTTTGGGGTCATACCTGTAAAGAACACATCAAGAGCAGAGTTGTTATTCCACAAATCAAATGATTGATATATGTTATCTCCCTTAAATAAGGGCAGATTAATAACTAAAATACATGGAAACCTATTTTGATCTTTGAAATTCATTTGTATATAACAAGCTGTATATGAATATATATTTTAAAAAATCAAAACAGCGGCCGGCGCCGCGGCTCAATAGGCTAATCCTCCACCTTGCGGCGCCGGCACACCGGGTTCTAGTCCTGGTCGGGGGGCCGGATTCTGTCCCGGTTGCCCCTCTTCCAGGCCAGCTCTCTGCTGTGGCCAGGGAGTGCAGTGGAGGATGGCCCAAGTACTTGGGCCCTGCACCCCATGGGAGACCAGGATAAGTACCTGGCTCCTGCCATTGGATCAGCGTGGTGCGCCGGCCACAGTGCACTAGCCGCGGCAGCCATTGGAGGGTGAACCAACGGCAAAGGAAGACCTTTCTCTCTGTCTCTCTCTCTCACTATCCACTCTGTCTGTCAAAAAATAAAAAATAAAAACAGTATCAACAAAACTAATTTTCCCTTTGAGTTCCACTTGAACTCTGGTCTCTTCCCATTATGATTGGCATATACGCTTTAATACTTTTCAGTAAAATGTTTTCAAATAAGTATACATGTATCCATATGCATATTCATCTGTGAACTTGTTTGTTTACATAAATATGTCCACATTAGGCACTGTTTTTCTCTTCAAGATATTTGAGATCTATTTATAGAAATACAGCACAAGAGATTCCTTTTGAACTATTTTAAAACACTGTATATGCCACGTCACTTACTCATATTCCTATCCATATATCCTTTGACTATTTCCAATATTTTGCTATTAAAAACAGTGATTATTCTTGTATCTTTCTGCCTGTGCAAATGGATAAAGACTAGAAAATGGATAAAGACTAGAATCGTTGGGGCAAAGAATATATTCATTTTTACTTTTATTTTTTAAGATTTAATTTATTTATTTGAGAAGATGAGTTACAGGGAGAGGGAGAGACACAGAGAAAGGGCTGCCATCCATTGGTTCACTTCAAAAATGGCCACAACAGTGGGATGGCTGGAGCCTGCAGCTTCTTCTAGGCCTCGGATGTATGTGCAGGGGCCCAAGGGCTTTCCCAGGAAGAGAGCTGGATTGAAGTGGAGCAGCTGGGACTCGAACTGGTGCCCATGTGGGATGCTGGCACTGTAGGTGATGGCTTTACCCACTATGCCACAGTGCTGGCTCCCAAAATCTATATTTTGATATCTACAGGCTTCAATGTAACTGAGATATAGATATTTAATTATTTTGCTTATATTTGTTTACTTATTTATTTTAAAAAATATCTTAGTTTTATTTCATGATTCTAGAATTGACAATACTTTATTTTATAAAATACAGTTAGCATTCCCTTGGTATATTTAAGTGCACTCCCCCAACCACTCCCCTTTAATGGAACTGATTCCTCGGTGTTTTTCCAGCCACACTGGGAACTGAGTTGCTGCATGGTTTCAGAGGCGTGTTGTGGAAATACCAAGGATCACCTTAAATCAACATCGTGGAAAGGAAAAGGGTGCATGAGAGCAAGAAGCTTTTAAAACATCAGTTACCGTAACGTTTCCATTGTGCCCTGTGTGATAGATATTATGGGTAAAGGCAGCTCAACAAACAATTATAGTACAATGGATTAGGAACAAGCTTGTTAAAGATACATAAAGAATAAAGGCGTGAGAAACTAATTTATTTGCATGACCATCAGAGAATTTTATGTAATGATTAACATTTGATTCTTGAAGGATATGTAAGTCTTAAAAGGGCAAATATTCCAGGGAAGAAAGAGAAGCAAGCATACACATAGGGAAACAGACATAAAAGACGATGGTGTATTGGGGCTGGCACTGTGGCGCAGCAGGTAAAGCCGCCGCCTGCAGTGCCGGCTTCCCATTTGAGCACTGGTTCAAGTCCCGGCTGCTCCGCTTCTGATCCAGCTCTCTGCTATGGCCTGGGAAAGCAGTGGAGGATGGCCCAAGTCCTTGGGCCCCGTATCCATGTGGGAGACCAGTAAGAAGCACCTGGCTCCCGGCTTCCGATCAGCGCAACTCCGGCTGTTGCAGCCGTATGGGGAGTGAACCGGCGGTATCCTCTCTGCCTCTCCTCTTTCTATGTAATTCTCACTTTCAAATAAATAAATCAAATCTTAAAAAAAAAAAGACAGTTGTGCCAGGAACTGTGAGCAATTTGTTGGGTCCGTAGTTGCATGTTTAGGGAATGGTGGAATCCAATGCAAAGTGGAAAAACAGGTGGAGAACAGATCATAGAGGACTTGTACATCATGCTACAAGGATTAGGCTGCCAACCAGTGCCACAGACTCAAGTCACATCTGTTTCCTAATTAGTATCTCAAATGACACTGCACGTACAATAGAGAAAACATTTCAAGCTCTCTTTACTCACCTTTCAACACTATTGAGATAAGAGGATCCATCATGGCCTCCCACTGCATATAACAGGTCATCAAGGACACTGACCCCAACTCCACATCGCCTTTTGCTCATTGAAACTACCATGCGCCATTCATTTGTCTGTGGATCGTATCTTTCAACACTGGAAATGGCATCTCCACTGCACCAACCACCGACTGAGGAAGAAACACAAATGATCAAGAGGATGTGCCCTAAGGCAAACAGTGTATCAGTCCCTGCTAACCTCACTGTGGATTAATGTGTGACTAAGCAAATGTCTCTAGAAGTAGGTCCAAATACAGTCATAACTTTCATTTGTCCCACTGGGATTGCTATAACCTTAATTAATTTTCCAAATAAATTAGTATCATGTCCACTTGACAAAAGAGGACAATGACACCTATTCAAATAGAATTGTAAGGTAATATCCTGTATAATGGATAAAACACTGAATTTAGTTAGAAAATTAAGGTTTGACTATTGCTTCTACCAGTTCTGCAATGTTGGGGAAATCCTGAGCCACTGTTTCCTCATTTGTAAAATAGGGAATCAAAATTAAAAAGTGGAAAAATACTAACAGTGTATAAAAAGGATGATACAACATGACCAAGCAGGTTTTATCTGAGTAGACAAGAGAGTTCAAATTTTAAAAATCATATCACCAGGCTAAAAAAGAAAACTCAGAATTGTTTTTTTTAAAAGATATATTTATTTATTTGAAAGTCAGATTTACACAGAGAGAGGAGAGCCAGAGAGAGAGAGAGGTCTTCCATCCTATGGTTCACTCCCCAGATGGCTGCAACAGCCAGAGCTGCACCGATCCAAAGCCAGAAGCCAGGAGCTTATCCGGGTCTCTCACATGGGTGCAGGGGCCCAAGGACTTGGGCCATCCTCCACTGCTATCCCAGGCCATAGCAGAGAGCTGGATCAGAAGTGGAGCAGCCGGGTCTCAAACCTGCACCTATATGGGATGGCTGCACTTCAGGCCAGGGTGTTAACCCACTGGGCCATAGCGCTGGCCCTGAAAACTCAGAATTGTATCAATAGATGCAGGAAAAGCATCTGACAAATTCAATACACATTTCTCATAAAAACTCTCAGAAAACTAGGAACTTCTGCTTAATAAAGAATAGTTACAAAATGCCTTCAGCTAGCATTATACTTAATGGTAAGAGTTAAAGCTTTCTAAGATCAAGAACAAGGTAAGAATGTTCCCTCTCATTATTGATTTCCAGCATCATACTGGAAGTCCTAGCTAATGCTGTAAAACAAGAAAAGGAAATAAAAGTCATACTATTTAAGAAGAAACTGTTGGGGCCACGCTGTGACATAGCAGGTAAAGCTGCTGCCTGAAGTGCCAGCATCCCTTTGGGTGCTGGATCAAGTCCTGGCTGCTTCACTTTCGATCCAGCTCTCTGCTGTGGCCTGGGAAAGCAGTGAAGATGGCCCAACTCCTTGGGCCCCTGCACCCATGTGGGAGACCCGAATAAGGCTTCTGGCTCCTGGCTACTGATTGGCGAAGCTTCAGTCATTGCGGCTAACTGGGGAGTGAACTAGCAGATGGAAGACCTCTCTCTCTCTCTCTCTCTGCCTCTCCTTCTCTCTCTGTGTAACTCTGACTTTCAAATAAATAAGTAAAATAAATAAATACAGAGAAGAAACTGTTCTTGTTCACAGGTGACATAATTGTCTATGCAGAAAACCTGAAAGAATCAACAAAAATACCCTTCTGGACCTACCAAGCAATTATACCAAGATTGCAGGATGCCAAGTTAATATGCAAAAAATCAATCTTTTTCCTATGTATCAGCAATGAAAAAGTAGAATTTAAAATTAAAAGCAAAATACTACTGGGCTGGGGTGTTTAGTTTAATGGTTAAGAAGCCAGTTGGAGGACCGGTGCTATGGCATAGTGGATAAAGTTACCGCTTGCAGTGCCGGCTTCCCATATGGGCGGTAGTAGTTCAAGTCCCAGCTGCTCCACGTCCCATCCAGCTCTCTGCTATGGCCTGAGAAAGTAGTAGAAGACAGCCCAAATCCTTGGGCCCCTGCACCTACGTGGGAGATCTGGAAGAAGCTCCTGGTTCCTGGCTTTGGATTGGCACACCTCCAGCCATTGTGGCCATCTGGGGAGTGAACCAGTGGATGGAAGACCTCTCTATCTCTCTCTTTCTGCCTCTGCCTCTCTGTAACAACTTTGCCTTTCAAAGAAATAAACAAATCTTAAAAAAAAGAAGCCAGTTAGGGCTCCTATGCCCATGTTTGGAATACCAGGGGTTGATATCTGGCTCCCTCTCCTGACTTGGGCTTCCTGCTCATGTGGACCCTTGGAGGCAGCTATAGGAACCTACCAAGATACCTTTCAGTAGGTGAATGGATAAACTATGGTACATCCAGACAACGGATAATGCTGTAATAACAAATGAGCTATCAAACCATGAGAAGACATGGATGAAACTTAAAAAAAGAAGCCAGTCTGAAAAGTTACTGTGACATTGTGAAATATGTATTTGGTCTTCACCTCCACTTCCCTACCTGTAACTCTTAAAATCACTGGAATCTCTAAAGTGATAATTATGTTTTTGGATGGCAATGAGTTGACCTTTGGCTGGCAGCCTCTTGGTAGCTTCAGGATAGGGGCAAGGACCAAGGTGTGCTTAGAGTGCTGGGACTTTTAGTCCTATCCACCATCCTAAGAGGAAGGGGAAGGAACTGAAGTTTAAGTTGATCACTAATGACTTAAGATTTAATCAGTTATGCACATTATACTGAAAACTTCAAAAAAACCTGAAAGCATGAAGTTCAGGAAGCTTCTAGATAATCTGAGCACATGAAGGTTCCTGAAGGGTGGTGGACCTGGACAGGGCTTGTAAGATCCGTGGATCTCTGCATCTGATCCTTTCAATGTCTTATTTTTAAAGGTTTTATTTATTTATTTGAGAGGTAGAGTTACAATGAGAGGGAGACAGAGACAGAGAGACAGAGAGAGAAAGACAGAGACAGAGACAGAGAGAGAGAGGTGTCTATCATCTGCTGGCTCATTCCGCAAATGGCCACAATGGCCAGAACTCCAAATCCAGCAGCCAGGAACCAGACTCTTCCTCTGGGTCTCCCACGTGGGTGCAGGGGCCCAAGGACCTGGGCCATCTTCTACTGCTCTCCCAGACCACAGCAGAGAGCTGGACTGGAAGAGGAACAGCCGAGACTAGAACCAGCACCCATATGGGATGCTGGTGCCACAGGCAGGGGATCAACCCACTGCGCCACAGTGCCAGCCCCTTCTTAATGTCTTTTATAGAAAACCACTAAGTGTAGGAATTTTGCTGACTTCACAAACCACTTGAGCAAATTAAAACCAAACAGGCAGCTGTAGGAACCGTGATTTGTAGTCTATTGGTCGGAAGCACAGGTAAAACAAACCGGGGCTTGTAAATGGCATCTAAAAGGGAGGGAAACCTTGGGGACTGAGCCCTCGACACATGGGATTTGACACTATCTCAGGCAGATAGTGCTGGAACTGAACTGGGGAAGAGGATGCCCAATTGATGTCCACTGCAAAACTGATTGCTTGCTTACTGGTGGAGAGAAATCCTTACACCTTTTGAGGTCATAGAATTCTTCTATGTTGACTGTTGTGATCTGAGAGCAGAGGGAAACATGGTTTGTTTTTCTGACTCAGTTACATGGTTCCAACTATATTACATTCTGGATAAGGCAAAACAAAGGAGACAGCAAAAAGAGTAAATGGGGACTGGTTCGTGTCTGGGCTGTTCTACTTCCGATCCAGCTCCCTGCCAATGTGCCTGGGAAAGCGGTAGGAGATGTTTCATGTGCTTGGGCCCCTGTACCCATGCAGGAGACCTGGAGGAACCTCCTGGCTCGGCTTCCATCTGGCCCAGCCACCTGGGGAGTGAACCAGCTGATGGAAGACTTCTCTCTTTTTGCCTCTGCCTCTCTCTCTCTTTACAATTCTGCCTTCCAAATCAATAAATAAATCTTAAAAAAAAAGTTCAAGGAAAATACATTTTATAACTAGGCATGGGCTTAACTGTTTTGCTCCAGAATAATTTTATCTCTTAATTCTATTTTCCATGAACTTTTTGAAATCCTCTTGTAAGTATCTAAAATGAGTTTTTAAAAGACTTGTATATAGTACTAGATAAATGTAATGTGCTATCAAAAGCCAAAAAACAACAACTCAGAATCTTCTTTTTCTTTTATTATATTAGAGAGACAGTTTTTGGCTGATCAACTCATGGTCTCTTAATATGTACCGTTGTGACTAGAACAGTACAAAACTTCTAAAATCACAAAATATTTTGCTTTCTGTTTAGTCTATAGTCTGCACAGGAGTATAAGAAAATAATTTAACCACCATTCTATGTTTCTATGGTATTTTGTTACGGCAGACTGAGAAAAGTAACAGTATGAATAGGAAACAAACCAACCAACCAAAAACTAAAAAAAAAAAAAAAAAAAAAAAAAAAAAAAAAAAAAAAAAAAAACCTCTTAAACATTAAGTTCTATAAAGCTTTCCTGAGTGATTCCTGAAAAAAGTATGATTATGGCACATAACTGAATTGGTTAATCTGGTTAATCTTTCAAATATTTTTCATTTAAGAAATGAGGTTCTAAGAGTACTGCAAACCTTAAAACATTTGTTTTAACTTCTGGTTCCTAAGGGTGTCCCAAGCAACTTTCTGAGCCCAACTGAAAATGGAAAATGCTCCCAATCTTTTCTTCTAGATGGAGTTGAAAGTTTACTTTGTTAATTTGATAATCTCAATATGCTATATAAATTTTATTTTAGGATGGTTTCTTTTAAAGCAGAATAGTCAACTAATACTAAATCACAGCAAGTTTTATGGATATTAATTTGTTTAAATTTGAATTCTGTAATTGGATAAATGCCACAGGTTTCAGTATCCTAAATCTGAAATACAACTTGGCTAGAAATGTGAGGATTTATAGCACTTGAGACCAATAGCCTAAAACACATATTACCATTTTTGTCACTGGCTTATTTCACTAAGCATAATGGACTCTAGTTGCATCTAGTTTGTTGTAAATGATGGGGTTACATTCTTTTTTTATGACTGAGTAGTATTCCATTGTGTATATATCCCATATTTTATTTAATACTATTTCTTTTTCTTAAAGATTTATTTATTTATGGCCGGTGCTGCGGCTCACTAGGCTAATCCTCTGCCTTGCGGTGCTGGTACACCAGGTTCTAGTCCCAGTCAGGGTGCCAGATTCTTTCCTGGTTGCCCCTCTTCCATGCCAGCTCTCTGCTGTGGCCCAGGAAGGCAGTGGAGGATGGCCCAAGTGCTTGGGCCCTGCACCCCATGGGAGACCAGGAGAAGCACCTGGCTCCTGCCTTTGGATCAGCATGGTGTGCCGGCTGCAGTGCACCAGCCGTGGCGGCCATTGGAGGGTGAACCAATGGCAAAAGGAAGACCTTTCTCTATCTCTATCACTGTCCACTTTGCCTGTCAAAAAAAAAATATTTATTTATTTGAAAGGCAGAATTACAAAGAGGCAGAGGCAGAGAGAGAGAGAAGTCTTCCATCCACTGCTTCATTCCCTAGATGGCCACAATTGCTGGAGCTGTGCCAATGAGATTCTTCCATGTCTCCAACATGGGTGTAGGGGCCCAAGGACTTGGGCCATTTTCCGCTGCTTTCCCAGGTCATTGCAGAGAGCTGGATTGGAAGTGGAGCACCTGGGACTCAAACCAGCACCCATATGGATACCAACACTGAAGGTGGCGTGCTGTGCCACAGCACTGCCACCTCATAATATTTCTAATTCTTTAGTTTTGTCTTTGACATTATTTGTTTTATCTATATATAACTATTATCCTTTTTCAATATGAGGTCATCATTTACATCAAAACTGTAAGTTGTCCCTGCAATCTTCATTTACACAAATCTTAGAGCCATCTTAGGTCCCACCAGTTATTCGCCTTTTCTTGATGACAATTTTTGAAAATCTTTTCTCAATTATTGGGTTAACTTTGAATTTTCTTGTTATTTTTAAAATACCCAATCGAGTAGTTCCATGTACCATCATCTTTCATTTATGATTATTCTCATGGACATGGGAATTTTTTACCATCACTTTATTTTCCCATTTTATTTATTTATTTTTTTTTTGACAGGCAGAGTGGACAGTGAGAGAGAGAGACAGAGAGAAAGGTCTTCCTTTTGCCGTTGGTTCACCCTCCAATGGCCGCCGCGGCCGGCGCGCTGCGGCCGGCGCACCGCGCTGATCCGATGGCAGGAGCCAGGAGCCAGGTGCTTTTCCTGGTCTCCCATGGGGTGCAGGGCCCAAGCACCTGGGCCATCCTCCACTGCACTCCCGGGCCACAGCAGAGGGCTGGCCTGGAAGAGGGGCAACCGGGACAGAATCCGGCGCCCCGACCGGGACTAGAACCCGGTGTGCCGGCGCCGCTAGGCGGAGGATTAGCCTAGTGAGCCGCGGCGCCGGCCCTATTTTCCCATTTTAAATATAATTTTGATTTATTTTTAGCAACTGCCTTTACAATTGTTTGTCTTTCTATTATTAATCTTACCAGATTAGTCATTTCTTCACAAAGTAATGATTCTTAAGAGTTCTGTTTTCTTTATTTTTAATTTAATAAATGTGAATTTACAAAGTGCAACTTTTGTATTGTTGTGGCTTCCCCCGCCAACCTCCCTCCCTCCCGTGGCCCTCCCCTCTCCCACTCCCTCTCCCATCCCACCCTTCATCAAGTTTCATTTTCAATTACCTTCATATACAGAAGATCAACTTAGTATATGCTAAGCAAGGATTTCAATAGGCTGCACTCACACAACCGCACAAGGTATAGGGTATTGTTCGACTAGTAGTGTTGTCTTTAAGTTCCATAGTAAAACACATTAAGGACAGAGATCCTATGTGGGGAGCTGTGGGGAGCAACTCGGACTAGACTAAGTTACTGGAATTAAGACTTATTCTATGCATCTGCTCTCCCACAATATGGCCCTGGGAGAGGAGTAAAAATAGCTTCTACACAGCTGCCTCCAGTTCAACCAATAAGCAGCAGGACCTGCTCCTGATTGGAGGAGAGCAGCGTACTCGGCGTGTGGGTAGCAGAGTTGGGATTGGTGGAAGAGGACTATAAAGGAGGAGAGAGACAACATGCACCAGGAACATCTAAGGGGAACATCTATCTGAAGGAACACCTGTGCAGCCCCCGAGAGAGCCGGCCGGCGGTGTGCCACTCCCCCGCAGAAGTGGGGAAAGTAGCTAGGGGGAACCGCCCTTCCACGGAGGTGGAAGGGACGGTAGCCAACCCGGGAAGAACCAGCAGCAAACCTGGGGAGGGCCGAGCAGACAAAAGAACAGCACAGGGTCCTGTGTCGTTTCCCCCACGAAGACAGGGAGCGACAGGGAGCATGTACCCAGGGACTCCTGTTCTTGATTTAACAATTGGCACTCTTATTTATGATGTCAGCAATCACCCGAGGCTCTTGCCATGAGCTATCTAGGCTATGGAAGCCCCTTGAGTTCACCAACTCTGAACTTGTTTAGTCAAGGCCATATCACAGTGGAGGTTCCTTCCTCCCTTCAGAGAAAGGTGCCTCCCTCCTTGATGGCCTGTTCCTTCTGCTGGGGTCTTGTTCATCAGGATCTTTCCTTTAGGTTGTTTTTGCCACCGTGTCATGGCTTTCCATGCCTGTGAGGCTCTCATGGGCCTTTTAGCCAGATCCAAATGTCCCAAGGGTTGATTCTGAGGCAGGAGTGCTGTTTGGGGTATTTGCCATTCTATAAGTCTGCTGTGTTTCCTGCTTCCCCCACAGGATCATTCTCTCCCTTTTAATTCTATCCTTCATTATTTGCCTACACTGGTCTTATTTGTGAAATCTCTTCAAAACTTACCCTATCTTTTTGATCAGTTATGTACTTATATTTATCACTTTACCAAGTGAGCTGGCATTGGTACATGCCTCCTTGATAAGATTGAGTTGAAATCCCCTGGCACATTTCTAGCTCTACCATTGGAGGGAAGTCCGAATGAGCATGTGCTGACCTATATATCTCCTCCCTCTCTTATTCTCACTCCTATATTTAACAGAGATCACTTTTCTATTAATTTTAAATGTGTAAGAATGATTGTGTATTGATTACAAAGTGCAACCAGTGGTATTAAGTAGAACAAAGCAACAACAACAACAAATACTGAAAGGAATAAAATAGTAAGTTGTTCCTCAACAGTCTAGACAAGGGCTGATCATGTCACTGTCTCTCATAGTGTCCATTTCACTTCAATGGGTTTCCTTTTAGATGCTCATTTAGTTGCCATCGATCAGGTAGAACATATGATATTTGTCCCTTTGGGACTGGCTTATTTCACTCAACATATTTTCCAGATTCCTCCATTTTGTTGTAAATGACCAGATTTCATTGATTTTTACTGCTGTATAGTGTTCCATAGAGTACATATCCCATAATTTCTTTATCCAGTCTTCTGTTGATGGGCATTTAGGTGGATTCCATGTCTTTGCTATTGTGAATTGAGCTGCAACAAATATTGAGGTGCAAGTGGCTCTTTTTTTCTCCCCTTTAATTCCATTTGGATAAATTCCAAGGAATGGGATGGCTTGGTCCTGTGGTAGGGCTATATTCAGGTTTCTGAGGACTCTCCAAACTGTCTTCCATAGTGGCTTTACCAGTTTGCATTCCCACCAACAGTGGATTAGTGTCCCTTTTTCCCCACATCCTCACCAGCATCTGTCGTTGGTTGATTTCTATATGTAAGGCAATCTAACCAGGGTGAGTGTCGCTCCCCCTCTTCGTGGAGGAGCAACACTAAGCCCTGCCTAGGCTTCATATCCGAGTCACGGCACCATTATGTCGCTCCCCCTCTTCGCGGAGGAACGACACAGGACCCTGCCTAGGCTTCATATCCGAGTCACGGCCCCATTATGTCGCTCCCCGTCTTCATGGAGGAGCAACACAGGACCCTGCGCTGTTCTTTCGTCTGCTCGGCCCTCCCCGGGTTTGCTGCTGGTTCTTCCCGGGTTGGCTACTATCCCTTCCATCTCCGTGGAAGGGCAGTTCCCCCTGGCCACATTCCCCACTTCCGCAGGGGAGCGGCACACCGCCGGCCGGCTCTCTCGGGGGCTGCACGGGTTCCCTTAGATGTTCCCCATAGATGTTCCTGGTGCATGCCGTCTCTCTCCTCCTTTATAGTCCTCCTCCGCCAATCCTAACTCGGCTGCCCACACGCCGAGTACGCTGCTCTCCAATCAGGAGCAAGTCCTACAGTTTATTGGTTGAACTGGAGGCAGCTGGGTAGAAGCTGTTTTCTCCTCTCCCAGCGCCATATTGTAGGAGAGCAGATGCATAGAATAAGTCTTAATTCCAGTAACTTAGTCTAGTCCGAGCTGCTCCCCACAGAGGAGAGCAGATGCATAGAATAAGTCTTAATTCCAGTAACTTAGTCTAGTCCGAGCTGCTCCCCACAGGTGAGGAGAAACCTCATTGTGGTTTTGATCTGCATGTCCCTGATGGCTAGGGAACCTGAGCATTTTTTCATGTGTGTTGGCCATTTGTATTTCCTCTTTTGAAAAATGTCTGTTAAGGTCCTTGGCCCATCTTTTCATTGGGTTGTTTGTTTTGTTTCTGTGGTGTTTCTTGTTCATTTTATAGATTCTAGTTGTTAATCCTTTATGTGTTGTGTAGTTTGTGAATAACATCTCCCATTCTATTGGTTGCCTCTTCACTTTACTGACTGTTTCCTTTGCTGTAACGAAACTTTCAATTTGAGGTAATCCCATTTGTTTATCTTTGATTACCTATGCCTCTGAGGTCTTCTCCAGGACTTCTTCACCTGTTCCAATGTCTTGAAGGGTTTCCCCTATGCTCTCAATTAGTTTCATGGTGTCGTGGCGTATCTCTAGTTCTTTGATCCATGTTGAGTGGATTTTTGTATAAGGTGTAAGGTAGGAGTCTTGCTTCATACTTCAACATGTGGACATCCAGTTTTCCCAGCACCATTTGTTGAAGAGGCTGCCCTTGTTCCAGGGGTTGGTTTTAGGTCCTTTGTTGAATATGAGTTGGTTATAGAAGTTTGGATTGAGTGAATCCTGTAGGTCTCTGACTGTATTTTTTAATTTTTTATTTTCTTCTTCCTGCGTTTGAACTGACTGTATTATTTCTGGAAGTTTGTCTTCGAATTCTGATATTTGCTCTTCTATTTCATCTGTTCAATTTCCGAGGGATTCCACGGTGTTTTTTATATGGTCAATTGAGTTTTTCATTTCCAGTATTTCATTCTGGCTTCTCTTTAGGATCTCTAATCCTTGGGCTTGTTTTTTGTTCAGCTCTCGAATCTGTTTCTCATTATTTCTAAGTAATCTGATTATTAATTTTCTGAATTCTTTTTCTGGCATGGTTTCAAATTCTTCTTCTTCAGCCTCTGTTATGGTTGGTTTAGCCTGCTCCATTGGCGAGTTTATATGTTCTTCTATATTCTTATTCTGGGTTTTTCCTTTGTTTTTCAGCATTCCGTCTGCCTTGTTTTTCAGGTCGATTTCCCTCTGCTATAGGCTGCTGTGGGTCTTTACCAATATCCAGTGTAAGCATAAGCAGGCTGCTCTACTTTCTAGAGTTTGTTTATTTATTTATAAGTTGAGTGGGCTGGTGTCAGGGCTTTGAGGTGCCAATCTCCACCCCTTGGGGGCCGGTTTCTCTGTTCCTTTGTTCGCCCTTACGTGTCTGTGCCTAGGGTTTGTTGGTCAGCCACTCTCCCTCGCTGTGCCTCCTGCATGAGGAGTGTTGAGTAGCTCCAGACCACCTTTGGACTCTGCCCCTGCTGCTTCCTCCTTCAGAGCAGAGGCCAGCCTCCTTTAAGCCCAAATGTAAACAAACAGGATGGCTGCTCTCTGCCCACTGCAGCTCTGATTGTGGGGAGTGCAGAGGTGAAGAACCAAAGTGACTCTATTTTAAGACAATAAAAAAAGCAGCCTCCATTTCCCATAGCAGACCCAAGTCCTTGTAAAAGCAGGCATTCAGGCATCCTGGAGGTATCAAAGCTTACCAGGGATAGCTAGCTCAGTAGACCAAGGACAGCACAGTAGAGATTGCTAAACAAAGTAACTCCCTGTACCCAAAGCTTCCGTGCTGTAAGCCCCCGCTGTAACTCCCTGTACCCGAAGCTTCCATGCTGTATGTAACTCTTTTTTTCCTGCTGATGTAGCCCTTTTTTCCTTTAAAAACTCTCCCACACAAAGACCGGGGCCTCACTCCTTCCTCCGCTGTGCTGGTTGGTTGGATGGGGTCCCTGTCGTGGCTTGTACTCCCTAATAAATCTTGCTTTTGCATTTCAGTGTGATCGACTCTCTGGGGGTCTCTGTGGGGATCTAATGATCTGGGCACAACATATTTTTTGGTGCCCAACAGAGGCTCCGAAGGATCCTAGCATTTTTAATCCCTCAGTTTGCCCCTTGTATTGTGCCCTCTTCCCTTGGGTGCTATTCATTTTTTTTTTGTCTGGTAACTTGAGTAGGCTGGTGTCAGGGCTTTGAGATGTCAAGCTCCACCCCTCAGGGCCAGTTTCCCTATCCTTTGTTTGGCTTGAGTTGTTGGTCAGCTGCCCTCCCTCATTGCACCCCTGCACAAGTAGTGTTGAGTCACTCCACTCCACCTTTGGACTCCACCTCTGAAGTTTCCTCCTTCTTCATAGTGCGCAGGCAGAGGCTGTTCATCTTTAAGCCCAAATGTAAACAAACAAGATGGCTGCTTTCCACCCACTGCAGCTCTAATTTGGGGGAGGGCGGAGGCACCAAGGGATCCTGGCGTGTTCAGTGCCTCAGTTCATCCCCTTGGATCATGCACTCCTTCCACAGGCACTACTCACTCTGTTCTGTTTTTTATTTCCTCCCCCACTCAGTTGTGCGTGTCTCACTGTCCATCCCAGGGTGGGTTGGGGGAGGGGTGGCTGCAGCTGCTGCAGTGGTGCCAGGTGCCCTGTCTCACCTCGGCTTCCAGCGCTGTTGCGTAGACTCCCCTGCTGGTGTTCTGCACTTCAGGCATCCACGTCCTCCTCAAAGGTCCACCCTGTCTCCCCAGTTTCAGAAGAGTTTTCTCTGGAGTATATTCTCTCTACCCTTTCCTGAAACTACAGATTCTCACCCCTCCTTGAACCTTCCCTTCCCGGACCATTGGTGTGCTCCCTCCC